CAGGTCCCCTCCCACCCCTCGCAGGTCCCCTCCCCTCCCTCTGCCCCAGCGAACCCAAGTTCGGGACGGAGGCTGTGGGCTTCCCCGGCGCGCGCCCCGGCTCACCCCGTCCGCCACTCGCCGCCTGGCCGCCCCGCGGAGGAGCCGCGGCGCTAAGTAGCTCCTCGCCCGGCGGCTGGAAACGCGGCGTAAATATGTAGGGACGGAGCCGTGAGCTCAGCGAGGGTCGTGAGGGGGAATTTATTTCTTAATGTCCCTCCTTTATCCTATCATCGCTGAAACGAATTAGCGGTGACGTCCAACCCGGCTGGTTTATGGGTGTGGGGCGGGAGACGTCGCAACCCTCATTAAAAGAGCCGCTCTGGGCTCCAAAGCATACATCTTTTATATAACCTAATTTCCATTTTTTTCTATCAGGAAACCACACACACACACACACACACAAACACACACACACCCCTTGACAATTTCTGGGAGCCTGGAGGGGGCTGAATGTAGTAGCCACAGGGCAGCTCTCTTTCAGCAGGCAGAAAGGACCTCACGGGAGGAAGGGTTGCTTATTCCTGCCTCTACATCAGGGTTGGGATAACACTACTTAATGGGACAGTGGAATGCACAGGCTTTCATGCCGCACAGGGCTGGAAGCCCCAGGAGCCTGAGTTCTGGGCCTGGCTCTTGGGTGGGAGACAGGGAGAGAGGCAGCCAGTTCTGGAGATGTTGCCTTGTTTTGGTCTTCCCTGGAGGAGCAGCGCTCAGGCCTGGCAGCTGGGGAGGAGGAAGGACGGAGGGGACAGGCTCACCTGTAGCCTGGTAGACCTGCAGGCAGGGAGAGGCCCAGGGCTGGGCTGGGAGGAGGGGCGGATGCAGAGAACCAAGCTTTCCTTTCTTTCTTAGGGGCCCTAACATATGGGTAACCATATAAACCCGGCTCAAAAGCTGTCTTTTCCTGGGCAGATTGCAAAGGATTTTGCATTTCACTGTTGCTGCTGCTCACTCGCTCTTGGGGAAATGGGAGAAAACCAAGGAAAGAGAGAATTCAGACAGACAGACAGACACACACACACACACTCTCTCTCTCTCTCTCTGCACCTGGCTCTGGGAGCCTTCATCTTCCCCCTCCCAGCCCAGCTGAGGGGAGCAAGCCCACTCAGGCTCTGAGCTGTGCAGGAAAGCCGCAAAGAGGAATCCCCCACCAGCACCACTCTTTGTCACTAATAAATGCTTTTCAGATCGTCTTGCAAGACAAGCACGGGAGAAAGGGGTGTGACTTTGGAGGCAGGAAGAGGGGTGTGGAGGATGAGGATGGGAGGAGAGAATGGAGAAGTTGGTGGAGGAGGACATGTGTGGAGGTCTGTTTGTCTTCAACACGCCGGAAAGAAGACACAAGAAATACCCCCTCAGCCCCCAGGGCTCTGCCACCTCCTGACTGTGCCATGCAGCACAAGGTTCAGAGCCTCAGTTTTCCCCAGTGGTGAAATGGGCCTGGGGTCATTGTGAAGATGCCTATAAGGAGGTGATGCCGGCAAAGCCCCTGGCCCAGTGTCTGACATATAGTAAATGCTCAGTAAACAGGAGCCCAAAATAAGAATAACGGTGATGAGAATAAGAACGGGGACGTAAAGGCTGGATGGAGCATCCCAGGGAAGCAGGGCTGGAGCTGTGTCCTTCCAGCTAGACCCAGCTTCCCCTGCCCAAACCATTTCAAAGTTGAGTGCTGGGCTTCCGTGGTGTCAGAGTCAGACTCAGAACATTGCTCCCCTCAATTACCATGGCAACTGGGGAAAAGCAGGAAGCCAGAGGAAGGGAAGCTGCTCTTCCACTGGGCTGGCCGTTCACCTGCTCAAAACAGCTACTGTGTGTCCCTGCCTGTGTGGGTTTGGCCCGGGGTGGGGGCACCTTCTCTCCTGGAGCACCAGCTGCTCTGATCTGGGGAGAAGGGTGGTTGGTATGGGATCGGCAGCCACGAGACAGTGGGGTCAGGGCCAAGGCTGGACTGTGCCCACAAAAGACAGAGTTGGCTTTGCTTCAGGGAGAGGGGGACAGAAATCCCACTCCCCTAATTCTGTCCTCGCCAGCAGGTGTCCTGGTGCAGTTGAGAACAAAGTACGGGAATGCAGCTCCAGGACAGCAGTTTGGGAAGATAGGGTTTCCCAGCCCAGGGAGGGAGTCAGTTACCATGAGGGGTTGTGTGTGTGTGTGTGTGTGTGTGTGTGTGTGTGTGTGTGAAAGAGACACAGAGAGATAGGCAGAGAGAGAGAATAAAAGGGGAGAAGAGAGGGAGGGAAGAAGAGGCAGAAAAAGAGGAGGAGAGAGAGACAGAGACAGTCTCTTAGTCAGTCCCTTAGTCTGGTTGGTTCCGGAGGATTAAGGGGACTAGTGACAGCACTGGTTGTCGTGGTGGAGAGGACAACGGCTCTCTTGTTTCGAGTCCTCATTTTGCCAGTCTCAAGCCAAGTGTTTTCTAGGCATAGCCCATTGGCTCATCATAGAAATTGTTAAGGGATGATTGCTTTTTTCATTCCCATTTTACAGAAGGGAAAGCGAAGGCTCAGAGAGGCAAAATGACTTGCTCCAGTTAATTGGTGGTAAAAGCAGCCATCAGATCTCAGTACTACTGACCCCCAAGGTGGGATCTTCTTGCCTCCCCACTGCCGCCTTGTGGAGAAAGACTGAGACGATGTTAGAGCCCTCTTTTGGGGTGGCAGGGGAGTGTCTAGCGTCCGGGCCACCCTGCCTTGCTTGTGCTGGGAAGTGACCCCAAAGGGCTTCAAAAACTGGCACTAAAAGACCAGAGCCTCATAGCCACGTGGTGACCCTCAGACTACTCAGAGGGCCAGTCCCCCAAAAGCTCCTCGGGCGTGGTGCCCTCTCAAGTCTTCCTACCTTCAAGAATGCTTGGGCATTCACTCTAACCTGATTCCACCAGGACCCCCTCGGTGTCCGATGGAGACACCGATAGTGCCACCTTCTCCAGGAGCACTGTGGGACTCAAGCAGCTAAGACCCAGCCAGGGGTCAGCACAGAACAAGGTCTCCATAAATGGTCACAGGCTCTTCTCTTGGGCCCACAGCCTCCATCCCTGTGGATGGTAGGTGGGAAAGTGCTTCTCCTAGCTGGAGAAAGGCCGTCCCCTCTCCCTGCTCTCTGCGGCCCTGGACCCTAACCGGTCCCCACCCGGCAGTTGAGAGGTGGGCCCAGGGGAGCCGAACGCTCTGGTGCAGCCAAGTGGAGGAGAGTGAAGGAGGAGGTTGACCGACCTGCTGCCACCAAGGGGGTAATACATTATCCAGGGCTAATGAAAACATAATTATCTTCTTTTGGCTGCAGAGAGGGGCTAATTTAATAGGCTGCGATTGAAAGGCATCTGCTGAATTCACCCAGCAGTGAAAACACTTGAAGGGCTTGGGCGGAGCGGGGCAGGCAGAATGCGGCTGGCCGGGCCTGCAGCCATGCCAAGGCGGCAGCTCCCCCAGGGGAGTGGGGCAAGGGGGGTGCAGGGCAGAAGCAGCAGAGGGGGTGTGGCTGCTGACCGCCTCCTCCAGAGAAATGGCAGCTGCTTTCTCACCCTGTGATCTGGGACTGGTCCTTGGCCTCTCTGAGCCTCAGCTTCCCATCTGTAAAATGGGGTGACTGTGGCCTCCCTCTCATTGACTGGGAGGACGAGATGAGAGATGGGAGAGGGGTCCTAGCATATTCTCAGTAAGCGTTTAACCAAACTTTCCCCGCCCTCTGATGCTTTGCTGAGCCAGGTCTACTTAGCCTCAACATCCACTCTTTGGAGAAGCCCCTTCTCTGAGCTCCCACAGCACCCTGCATCTTCCCTTTCATCACACAGCTCCACAAGGGCATGGCAGTTCTGTCTCATTTGTCACTTGAAGCCAGTGCTTCCAGAGCATGTTTCCTGGACCAGAGGCCTCTGCATCCCCTGGGAACTTATTAGAAATGCCAGTCCTTGGGCCCCTACCCCACCCCTGCTGAACCAGACACTCAGGTGGGGGCCCAGGGATCTGTGTTGTGCACAAGCTCTCTACGTGATCTTGTTCCACACTCAAGTTTGAGAACTTCTGTTCTAACCCAAAACCTAATAGATGTTTGTTGAATAAATGAATGAAGATCTTCCTGGGGTCCAGCTATGCGATGATGATAGCTCTTCCTCATTACCCATCAGCTGTGTACAAAACTCTGTGCATGACGTCGTTAAACCCTCCCAGCCATCCCTGATCCATCACTCAGTATCCCGCACACTCCTCCATCCCCAGGCAATGCCCCTTGGCCTCCCTGTCTGTCCTGAGTTGAAGGCCCACAAAGGGTGTTGAAAGACCCAGGGGGTGCCTCTCCTGCTCCCTCTGGGCATAGATCCCCTCCCTTAAATAGCCCCCACCCGACTCCTCCCACCCCCACCCCACGCACCCAGGACCTCTGATTCTGCAAAAGAATTCAGCTTTCCACCCCACCCCTAGATGCTTGGCTGGGGAAGTCACGCAGATGTGCTTATGAGGGATGGTGCCTGTGGGTCAGTTTTGAAAAGTTAGGATAAGAGGCATAGCCCTGTGGGAGGGCCGTTGGAGATGGCTGTCCCCAGGTCAAGGTCCGGGGGTTTGGCGCTTCATCCCAGGGCAACTGTCAGTGGCCGATCAGATCCCTGTTGTGGCTCCCAGCTCAGGACCACGGTGGCCCTGGGGACTCTGGGGGGTAGCGGGCCAGTAGGACCAGGCTGAAGGAAACAGGGCTGTCTGAGAGCCTAGAACCCCAGGGAGGGGAGGGGGTACCACAGTACCTGGCATGGCTGCTGAGTGGTCATACATCCCACAGGCGTTGGAAGGATTCTGACAGGGAAGAAAGGGAGGAGCCCTTTAAGGCTTAAAGAGGCAGCCTGAGCATAAGAAGCA